TATATATTTTATTTGTAAATCTCTAACATCATGCCTAAGTTTAGCTTGTTACGATAAAAATATAAGGCACACCCTGTTTATATGTAGACTGCATTCCTTATGCGCATTGTTTAGTGCATGCGACCGAAAACAAAAATACAAAAAATTAATCAAAAGAAAATTATAAAACAAAGGCAATGAGGACAAGTCCGACTGCAAGCCAAGAGACTACGAAGCATACTTACAGGCGCCGCAGCAGACTATGGCATATGCATGCATGTGTAAGTTTATGTGTGTGCGTGTGTGTGCCGAGACATAAGCGTAGCCCCAGTTAAGACGAAACAGGGACACAGACACGGACGCAGATTTGGGCTGCGTTGACAAAGCTGTTTGCCCGGCAATTGGAGCGCAAGGATTTCATATGCATCTGCATGCGAGTGTGTGTACGTGCGGCTGAGTACGTGTGTCTGTGTGTGCGTGCGTGGGCATGTGTGTGCCTTTTATCGGACTTGTTTTGATAGTTGACTCGATTTTAAGCCTATTAAAGCGCCTGAGTCGCTCAACAATTGAGCGGCTTAGCACTGAGCGGGTTTCCAAGCTAAAAAGCGCCCCGTGAGCGATAGGCCCCAACAAAGTTAAGCCCTGGTCAGGCCCTTGCCCCAACTCCCCATCGGCTAAACCCTTTCGCGACTGCTGCTGCTGCTGTTAATAATTAAGGCTGCAACGCGCTCGTTAGACACATCCTTCTATGTACTCATGCCTGCTCTTGCTTTTTCTATATCCAGCTCTCCCTATCTCTGCTTTTCTCCCTCTCTTTCTCTCTCTCTCTCTCTCTCTCTGTCTCCGCTCTGCCCGTCGCGCCAGCAATTTTCTCAAGAAGCCGCACTTAAATGGCTTCCTGTGCGGGTGCAAACAAAAGCTGACTGCCAGCCAGTCGCACACGGCACACACATGTGCCAATCCGAGTATGTGTGTGTGGGTGTGTGTGTGTGGGTGGGTGTATTTGTCTCCGAAAGCAACAAAAAAATATGGCAGCAGCAACAAAAAATCTCTGACTGCCAGCTGCAAGTCGAGTGGCGTCGCCTGGTGGTTGATTTTGTTGTTGTTATTTTCTCTACTACTGCCAACGTGCAAATGTAAAACAAAAAAAAAAGAGTTGCAATTTATTTTTTTTTATTGTTGCAGTTGTTGTTGTTGCTGCTGCTGAGCGCAACACATGCGCCATTATGCAATTGATTTTCTTGGTTTTTTTTTTTGCTCTTGCTACGTTTTTTTCATTGTTGTAGGCGAAGCTGCTTAAAGCAGTTTTTGTTTTTGTCGGCTTACGAGTTCAGCTGGATGCCAAGGGTCATTCAACCCGCTGGCGAGGGCTAACTAATTTGGCAGCCTGGCCAGTTATGCCGTGGGCCGAGCTGTGTGCGTCTAATTAGGCGCCGCAACTAAAGCAAATCCTCTGAAAAGCCAGCAAAGCCCAGCTAGGTGTCTAAAGTGACGCTTCATGTGGAAAATGGCAAAAACAAACTGCACGTCCGTCTGTCTGTGTGTGCTAAAAAGATAGCAGGCATACACAAACACACGGGCACTGCCAGTGCTATGGCAACAGCAACTGCAACTGCAACTGCATTTCTATAGCGGCCGCCTCACGTGCGCTATCTCATTTGGCGTTGCATGCAACGCGGCGCGGCGCGGCTTTTAACCCTGAATGCATCGCATGAATGCAGCACAGCCGTGGCACAGACAACGCACAGACGCACCCAAACCATGGCAAACAAAACACGCCCACAGCCGCGCCTGGGGCTCATGCTGAGCCAAGTCGAGTCAAGTCAAGTCAAGTCAAGGCAGATTGCGTATACGCAGCATTGGCCACTTGCATTATTAAGCGCTACTCCAGCGCTGTGATAAGCTCTCGCGAGTGCGTGTGCGTGCGTGCGAGTGTGCGAGTGTGTGTGTGTGTGTGTGCATTGGTGCTTTCAAGTGCCTTGCAATTTCATTGTGAATGTCAAGTGTTGGCAGTTGCTTGCCAAGATGCTTTGTTAGCCGCCCCAGCACCGAGCAACTGCACGTGCAGATCCGGTAACAGCGGCGTTTGCCTTGTCAAGTGGCATTCAAGTGCATTTTACATGCCGCGTCTTTGATTGACATTAACATATTGCCAGGCACTGTGAAGTCGACGTTATGTCTGCCAGGCAATTGAGTGTGTTCGCAACAAGAAGAAAGTTTTCGTAGACTTCAGATAAAAAAAGAAGAAAAATAAAAGCAGTTGAGCCAGTTAAACAGCAGATTTGTTTGCCCTTACGATCTCTTGAGCATGAGTTATAAGTACCAGAAAAATAAGCCAATACCGGTTACGGAGGTGACTCCGTACATATACATTTTATATACTCATAATATTGGTCGCATTTATTTTGTTTAAGCCACATTATCGTCCACACTAACTGATTATTTATGAGATGATATCATAATTTTTTATATGTTCATATTATTAATATATCAAAGCAGTCAATATAATAATAGATGATCTTGCCTTAGTCAGAGCAAACTAATTAATCATAATACATTTTTCGTTTTATTACAGTTTTTAGTTAACCTTTCGACAAGTTACACTGTGATACCTTTATTGTTATAACGTTCATTTTCAATGGCTTCTTCTCGCCTGCGTCTAACATAATTAGTGATATAATGTTAAACATTTGGGGGCCACATTAACCAGTTATGTTCTTTCCACTGTAGCACTTAAATTATTGTTAAATGGAAATAAAAAGCAAATAAATAAATCAGGTTTATACAAGAAACCAAATCAAGTGAAAAATGTCAGTCGGCTTCAACCGAATACGTAACACTCTGTTCTCACTATAGCTTCAATACTCAAACAGTCGAAAACCATTCATAATTATTTATTAGGTCCTTTTAAAACTGTAGCCCCAATGCTGTAACCTAAGAAATGTATTAAGCAACTGATACCCAGATGGAAAAGACGCGTCTCTGTTATGGGTAGTCCTAAGGCTTAAGTTACCTTCACACTGCAAACAGAACTTTCAAACTTTGTATTGATTGATTTTTGCAGTGTTTGATATACTATCGATCTTTTAGGAAAATCATCTCCAATTTACATTTTAAATTTAATAGCTTTTATGATTATCTAATTTTTATGACTTGTTATTAACAAGTATATTCTATATAGAGACTCTAGCTGCAGTTGAGGCCAAAAAAAAATACAAAAGTTCTCTCGCAAAGAAATATAGCCAAAACTAATATACTTATGTTCCCTATTTGAGCAGAGTATTAACCGCAACAACATACAAAAAGTCGAAAATAAGGAAATAAAAGCGAAATAAACACAGCCAATACACTCCTTTTCAGTGTGTGAGCGGAGTATAAACCGCAACAAAACAATTAAAAGTCGTAAATTATAATAATTTTTGCCAATCGAATGAATCGACCATTCATGCGCGCCAGATATATACATTTTGTTGTAAATAAATTATAAAATTTGTCTTATATACACATATATTGTGGGTATCGCATACAAATATCATATGATGAAACCAGTTTTCACAAAATAAAATAATTATCTTAACATTTGTCATTTCCATATTTAGTATGTGCCCAATTAATGGCTACAACAAACTTTGACCTGACCCATAAACGGGCCTAAGACATGCAATTGTATCAATGACGTGAGTTTCAGAAGAAATTTAAATTTGAGCTGAGGAGCATTTTCAGTAGACGTATAGCAATATCATTTTAATCGCGCAGACATAAATCAAATGTACCGACACGCCTGCATTTAAATCATTTGATTTCTCTGTTGGCTTCATCAAATGAAAAACCAAAAATCCCCTAAACAAAATTAATGCAAATTTATTTGTATACAAACAACAAAAACAAAGCAGACCTCATCGTTAAGGTCGCCGGAATCGCACTTTTACTTTTGACTGGATCAACATGATCTTTACACACATAAAGTCAATACGTAGAAATGTACAATAATGATGCCTGGGTAAGATGGTAAATTAAACCATAAAGTGGTTAAAAGCGGAAAGGCAAAAAGGCAGAATGAGACAAAAAACAAAACAATTAAAGGGATCTACTCGGTAGTGCCCGACTATGAGATATCTTGCATTCAGCGCTGAGCTCCCAAAAAGCTATCTTCTATTTATACATACATAAAAGCACACATTCTCACACATAACATACTTCATCTTCGTTTGTCGACACACTATCAAAAATGTGGTCTTTAATAATTTCAGTACTTATAGTCCGATCTTTGAAATTTTCTAATCCTAAATATGATACCGAAATGTGTATATATACCAAATTTTGTAGTTCAAGTTATCGATAATTTATTATATTAAATGTCTATTTTGAAGTGGACACGGACAGACAGACGGGTAGAGCGACTTGGCTATTGTTGCTGAACAATAATATGTAAACCTCCCTCTGTCTATTACATGCATTGGTACAAAGTGATAATACCCTACTTCCAATTTCTCAATGCATACAGGGTATCATGAGCGGAAAACATTTTCACGGCCCTCACGAAATGATTTCTTTGCATGGGCCAAAGCAAAAGTTGGCTCCTTAACGATGACAAAACCAGACGTGAGTGATAGCAAAATTATGCCACAAGCAAACGAACGTTGAAGTGGTCAACGACGAAAACATCAACAAGATACTGTATAATAAATATATATATATATATATATATATATAATGTGTGTGCAGATATATAGACAAAAAGAAATTATGAAATTTAAAAGTGTTACAACAAATCAAAAGCCACGCGACGCCGCTGCCAACACAATTACAGCTCAATAGCCAAACAAGTTTCTGGCCGATGTCGCTGCTGCCAGCTATTGCTGCTGCTTGAGCTGCTGCTCTGTTGACTCTTCTTTGAAAGAAGTCCAACCAGGTGATCTTCGCAGCGTCTGGCTCAATCATTTGCCAGTCGGCGAGGCGTGCACAACACAAAACACAGTCTGAATATCTTAAACCGAATCTCTGTTCATTTGATGGCCAACATGTTGCTGCTCGTCTTGGCGGTAAGCTGTGCTCTGCCTGAATGGGCCATCAATGACTACCTCATTAAAATTTATATGTTTGTCCATAAATTAATTTAGTTGTCGTTGATGACCTGCGCCCAGTCGCAAGATTATCATTATCCGCGCCCGCAGTTTCCATTCCACCTGACGCCACAGCGCCCGGCAGCCCGTCAGCCGCCGACCAAGTTTATAGTACAGACCTTTGGACCGCATGGACGCACTTATGAGCTGCAAACGCACAAATCGCCAGCAATCTATGTGGCACATGAAACGTACGCTGTGCCTGGCCATCAGCGGCAGCCACAGAGGCAATTCCAACATCATGTGCAGCAACCGCAGCAGCAATTGTCCAGCTCGCAGTACCAGAATCCTCTGCTAGTTAACACCAACTACCAAGCTGTCCCAGTTGGCCTGACGCCGCCAGCACCGCCATCACCTGTCCCAGGTGGGTCCGTTACCTACTACACTCAGGCGCAGGCACAAAGCAACGGGCAGCAGACAGCTGACAGCTATTATAGGCAGCCACAGGCCTTGACAGTCGCCACCGCAACTCAAACGCAGCCAACCGCCAGCTATGGTCCGCCACAGGAGCAGCCACATTCGCCACACTATAGCAATCCACTGCCTTATGCCGTTGTCACGCTGCCGCAGGGTGAACGCGTACTGGATGCTGGTCACGGCTCGGGCCCGTTGCCCGCCGAGAGTGGACACTCAACGGAACCGACCCGTGTGGGCGACTACAACGCCCAATCGCCGAATGCCGCACTGGATACGTATAACTACAAGCAGTCTGTGCCCGGAGATACGCGCAGCTATCAACGCTATGTGACCAACTGCCAGCCGAACGGGCAGTGCCAGCAACTGAATCTGAATCCGGGACAGATTGATACCGATCACCATCAACTGTTGCAGACGGCGCGTGCGCAAACACAGCCAGCTAAAGGTGGCTGTCAGAAAGAAAACTATGTGCCGCCGGGCGCCCAACCGAATGCCCAGGGCCAGCTGCGGCCGCGCGACAGACGCACCTATGCGCACGTCCAAGAGGAGCTGGCCAAGTATCCATATAATTAAATTAAATACCCAAATCGAATTTATTAGTACCTGTTAGTTGCCTTATAATACAAATAAAGTACCCTTAAGATGAACAACCTTCAAATGTTCCTGAAACTATTTTGTGTGTTTATTTTCCAAAGTTAAAAATATGATTTATACACCGAACCCATTGAAAATTAGAAAATATGTGAAAATGAGCAAATGTATCTAAAAGGTCGAAGAAAGCGCCTCCAACCATTTTAAATAATATATATATATGTGTTTTTAAATAGGGCGATGGGTCGATTTAGCCATGTCCGTCTGTTAACAATCGGCCTATAAAGAACATTGCTATTACAGAATGCATTTCCCTACATGAGTTTATATATAGAAGAAAGTTAGATTGTTTGTAAAGGTAGCTCGGATCGCAATTTAGATTATCTTCTAGTCGGGCACTCAAGACTAGAGATCCCTTACGTCTTTAATTTTATTTTTCAATATGAATTTAATTTTTCCCAAAAACTACAAATATTTGAAATATTTTATATTTAACATATACCTGCCATGAGAACTTTTGGTCTTAAACTCAATTTTTAAAAGAACAATTTTTTGTTTATCAAATTATTTGAAACAGCAGCTACGAGCCCCAATACGTCTATTACTTTTATAGAAAGAATCGTACGTAATATATATCAAAACAACGCAAATTACTTCAAGATAAAGAACCCGATGCAGCTAGACATTTTAACATTTTTACATATTTTGTATTAAATAAAAACTTGATTTTTTGTGACTCAATTGACTTAATCGGCCAAAAAAATTATCTTTAATATTTGTTCCCATAATTTTTTCGTCGTATCGTTTTCGGTTTGATAATTTAATGCCCACATTTGAATAAATTAAAATTTTAATACCAGCCTAAAAGCATGCAACTTTTTTTAGTAAGACTTAAGCAACATTGTTGCTAACAGCTCTATAAATTGTTTTAATTTTTTGTATTCTTATAAAATTGTTTAGCTACAATTCTTGATATAGAAGTACCATAAAAGGTCTCTCAACTTCGAATAAAAAAACAAAACAAAAATAATTGTAATAGGTAAGTAACAGCTAAGAACAGGGGATAAGACAAACTAAATATATTTTTGTATAATTATTCAAACAAGGCCACGGAAAAAGACATTTAAGTAAGTTAAATGTATTTTATTTGTATACAACCAAACTAAGATTCGAACGGATTCTATTTGTCCATTTACCTTAATAGCTCGGTCACTCATCCGAGCAGCGCTATAAATACAATTAAGAATGATTTCTACTGACATCACGAAATTCTTCTTTTCTCCTTAATTGGGAAATTTTCAATATCAGATTGCTGTTAAACCCAAACAATTCGAAACCTGCTCCAAAGACTGCGCAGAACTCGTGCTTAGTCATTTGTTTAGCATTCGAGTGAGACACGCCAAGAAATATCTTCGATTTTTTTGTTTGTCTTCTCTTTTTGTTTTGTTTGCTGCTGACTTTGTTAGTTACCAAATATAAACACGTTTTAACCCATGACGTCAAAAAGTGTATAAGAAAAATTCCCAGCAGCTGCTTGGCCATTCATCACATATTTAGTTGTGGGCCAAGAGCTGACAGTGGACTCTATGTCCAGCGGAAATGTCACAAGCTCTGCAACGCAGAGGCGCCACAAGAGCTGCATAAGTAAACAAGGTGTCAACGTACTTGCAAGGGCCACGCTTATGATGCAGCTTCCGCTGCTGCTGGGCTTGCAGACAGCTCTCTTTGGGACCGGAAGCACAGACACTTGAACTAAGCGTCGGAGACATTGGAAACTCTGGAAGTTCAAAATTGATTTCGCAAAAAAAAAAAAAAAGTCTTCTCTATAATTAAAGGCAAACGCGCCGCCTGGCTAAATGCTAATGACAAGCGCAATTAAACAAATTAGGCAACTAATAATTAATTTCGTCAGGCAAATTGGCAAAAAAAAAGTCTAATTATAAAAAAAAATAAGGCGAAGATGTTGCGACAGCCGCAAAAGCTTTCAAAACCACATTCCGACCACATTTGCGAAATGCAATTTACAAATAAATAAATAATTTATTTCAGTACTTAACAAAAACAAACGTCAATAAACAAATTCGGAAATAACAAGAAACTTGCCCCAACCGCTGCCAGATTTAGAAATCGTTATTGTACTTTTTGTTATCGCCGGGATTGACGCTATAAAGATCATAATCAAATTGATCCCATTCCGCATAGCCAGCGCCGCGCGGCTTCGTGTTGCCCTTCTTCAGCTTCTGCAGGGCCTTCTTCTCCCGGCTAATGTCAACCGGATGCAGCTCCTTGCGTATATGCTGCTCCTCGGCATTGATGGGCTGTGGCTCGCGCACGGGCGTGCTGGTCAGAAACTGTGACTCATCCATGCCCAAATCGGCGCCCGGACTCATTTCAGCCTCATAGAAGTTGGCAAAGTTCTGCAGCTGCATAGACTCCGCCGGATGGTGATCGTAATAATCGGGCATGATTAGGTTATAGTTGTCCGTCAGTGTCATGGGCTGCTGTGGCTTGGACGCATAGGCAAGGATGGTCTCGCTGCTGGCGCCACTCAGATCAAAGTTCCTCTTATACGAGCTTTTACTGTACCGTGGCAGTGCTTGACTTGTGGACAGCACCAAGGCTAGACAGCAGCTGAGTAGCTAGGTTTGAAAAATTGATAGTTCGCTTAAATGTTTTGTGACAAATTTTTAAAGCTTACCATTTTTCTAAAACTTGTCGCACACATCTTTAAAAAAAAATGTTCTGTTCCTTTTTCTCTTAAATATTTTATATTAATATGCCTTGATTAAATTGTTCGTCTTATACTTTCTACAACTTTTTTCAATATAAATAAATGATTTGCAATTTTTTTTAAAATTCAAGTTCCTTGAATTTTTTACGCGCTACGTTTAAATCAAGCTCTTGAACACGTCTAATGTTCTGAGCGTTGTGTTTTTATATTTAAGGCGCGCATCAAGTTCAAGTCGAGAGAAAAAACATTTCACTGCCGCTTTTTTCTGATACTCTCTGTTCGCGATTTGAAAACGGGTATATTGGCTTTCAGCAATGAACGCCACTTGGAATGAATATTTCTATCCGGCAATTTATATCTTCTACATTCTAAGAACTATAGGCAGCAAATCGAACCAAATATATTGAGGCCACGCCCACTCGTACCCACCTCCCAGGCCACCCACACGCATATGGCAAATAGTCACAGTTGGAAATTCACTGCTTTAAACTTACAGTTTAAGAATCACCAAGAAAAACTCTATGCGACAGAGCATTGCGCAGTCGATGGCACCCGATCACTCAACGTTGTTATTTGATAAATTTTTTGTTTGTTTTGGGTAAATCCGGTTCGCAAGCTCCGATTTCCAACTGTGCGACGACCATTTGACTGCCGCTGGCTGTTTTCTGCTGGCTGCCGGCTGCTGCCTTTGACTGACAAGCGGAGTGATTGACACACGCAGCAAACGTCAGCGCAGGTCAGCCAGGAGCTGCTCGGTGCAGCGTGGAGCTGGAACTGTCGAGCAATCGCGTCATGCGTCAGGTTGCATGTCAAGTTCATTGCGTATGAAACAAAAGAAATGCAAATGCGAAAAACCAAACAAAAACAAAAACAAATCCAGCTGCGACAGGTTGTTGCGACTATGCAGCTTGTTGTGGCACACATTTGCAAATGATTCATTCAAATTCGGATTGCGTTTTTATTCACCTTTGTTCAACTGTCTTCAATTACCTTATTGGCTAATTAATACATACATATTAAATGTAAATAAAAAATAATATTAATTACACACGCTTTGTACCACTGAACTTTTGTGCAGTTAAAGCACTTGATTTCAGCTCACATATGCATATGTAAAACACTCACACACACACGCGCACACACACACACGCACACACACACGTACTTTACAAATTGGCACATCAATCAAAAGGTTTTACAATGCGACATTTTAATATTATTATTTAATTACGGATTTGCTGTTTGCTGTGCATTGCCTTCAGCTTGCATCTCGTTTGCATTATTACAATATATTTCGATATCGTAAACCCAATTAAAGAGCGCCCATTAAGTTAAAACTAGCACAGATTTTAAAACGATTGGTATTCGAGAATGGAGCATAATTCGATTTTAATTAACTGATATTCTCTGATGTTCAGTTTTGTGAAGGAAAGGAAAACAACTTTGGTTTATTTAATTGCTGAGCCAGTTCACAAACTATTCGTGGTAAGAGAATGACTTTGGGAATTAGAGAACCAATAGAAAGAAGTAGAATGAAAGAACACGAACTATCAAGAAAATGCTTAAAATACAACATCAAGTTAATCTTGCTTTAAAGTAGAAAAGATGGAAATTACACTAAAAAATTTAAGAAAAAATAAAAATAATTACAAGAATAAACAAAAAACTAAATAGAAGAAAAAATTGAGAGAAAATTTAAAAATACAATTGTTACAATCAGCCTCCTATTGATTTATATAGACGATAAATACTATTGACTTAATATAAAGAAGAATAACAAATAATGTCAATAGAAGGAAGTAGAATGAAAGAACAAGAACAAAAATATGGTACAAAATCTTCAATTTTAATAATCAGCCTCATATTGATTTATATAGACTATATATATTAACTATTAAGTAAATATGTAGAAGAATCGCAAATAATGTCAAATAAAATCCTTAATTTCTTATCGATTTTTATTATTTTATTCATAAGAGATCTGCAAGTAGACCTGAATACATAAAATAAATAACAGAATTATGGCGAAATAATTATTATCTTTGATTTGAATAAACAGCTTTAGATACAAAGGAAAAAATAAATAATGTTAAAAAGAAATCATTAATTTTTTATTGATGGCACAGCAAAGATTTGCAACTAGAACTAAAAACATTAAAAAATATCAGACTAATGAAGAACAAATTATTTAAAAAATTAAATAAACAGCTTTAGATTGATTCGTAAATTTTAAACATAAAGAAACAAGATAATTAATTTTTAAATTAATAGCTTATAAGAAATCTGAAACCAAAATGCAATTGAACAAATGTGACTTCATTTGGCGAAGCTGCTAAGAGAAATAAATATAAATTAAAATTGACTGTCAATCAGAGCCGCTTTCCATTAATTTATGTGAGATATTAAAAATAAGTGTGTTGCCTTTTTTTTGTAAGGGTGAATCAACAAGCTTTTGTGTTGTTTTGGAAAACCCTTACCCTTACCCTTACCTTACCCGGGCCACCCACTGATGGCATCATTTGCATTCGGGCGACACTCTGCCTGGCACTGTTGCTTACGAAAATAATAATGAATTCCGTAAATAATTCCAGCAGCAGCGGCAAACTCTGCGGCTTATTTTGCACTTACATTTCACTCGATTTTTGTTGAATTTTTTTATTTTTGTGTAAATTTCATATTACGTTGATTGTAAATTGGTGCGACGTTTTGTTGTTTGTGCCTAACACAACCTTTTTTTATTCATTGTTTTCGCTGATGCAGTTGAACATGTTTGAGATCAAAGACATGTTTTTGGAAGCTGAGCTGCCGCGAGTAAAAAAATGTGCACAAATATTTTGTTGGCAATTTACGTCAGAACAAAATACGCTGGACAGCAGCCCAAAAATGAAAACAACAATAAACAACAAGAATTTGAGTTATAATTTTTTGTTTTCTCTGTTATTTTTTTTTCATCTGGCGGCAACAAAATTTCAATTATTTGAAGAGATTCAGCTATTTCAAAGCGCCCCTATAACCGTCTGGCTTGAACTATTTACAGAGCTCTGGCAACAGTCGGGCCAAAAGCCTCAAAGCAACGTGCCTCAAAACTCGACCGCAACATTACATCAACTTGCCAGACGCATCAACGCCCAGCTGCAAGATGCCCTGTGGTCCCCCTACACCCAAGTCTGCACCCAAGACCCGATAAACGTCAATCCCAAGAGAGCGTCAATCCATGCAGCACAACACATCATTATCCATTGAAATCGTGGTGCACAGAGTAAATGCAAATCGAATTAGATTTAATATGCAATTCAACCACAACAAACTGTGCACATAATTTCTGTGCCACCTCACACGCCCCTTCCCCCTGTTTGCCAGCTGCCCCCTAATTTAATCATAGACTTTGTTCAATGGTCAGCGCAAGAAACTTAATGCTCAAGCCAAAACCTCAACATTTGCATTGAATTTCATTTAAATGTTCAAGCAGATAAACTGCATTTAATAATTTAATTCAATATTAATGCATTGTATTAAGCCTTAATTCGACCTAACGACTGCAACTCGTAGCTAGTGAAATATTGAATAAGCTGTAATTAGTATTAATATCTTTCCATAACTTTTCTATGTTTTATTATAATAAAATCATACAAAAATATTATTATATAGAAAGAATTTCAATCGATACTTTTCGGATTTTAGAAAAGTTATAACATATATATATATAATATTATATATTTTATTATTATTGATTTATATATAATTGATTTATATCTGTAGATATGAATTTAGATAAATAGTATTTAACTTTTATTAGAAATTTATTCGATCTTTATATAGTCTATAATATTATAAAATCTATATGTAATCAATATGTCATCAAAATTAAATGACGTAATTACTTTCTCTGAGATTTACAACACAGAAAAATAGTCAAATTAACATATGATTAAATCGATATCTTCCTATGAAGAAAAGTTTTCTGGCCAATGCACATATAGTATTTATGAATATATTTAACAATTTTCGCCTTATTTAAAATATATACTCGAGTTAAAAAGCGACCCGATTCATTCTGAAGATTTATGAAGCACACATGGAACTACTGTGGTCGTTTTTTCTGCCCCTGCAACAGCTGGCTGACCCCAATTAACAGCATCTTCCATTGACAACTTTAAGCTTTCGCAATTATTTAAGGTAAACGTAAATGTAATAAAGAAGCGCACACACACTCACGCACACATTGGCAGCCAACCCATAATATGGTTCATTAGCGTCCAGTGGGCTACTTGTGTTGCATGTATAGCTGTTGCCACGCCCACTTAATTGTCATTAATTACATTTATTTCATCGATGCCTCTTACTTTAAGCCGCATGCCGCCAAAAGGTGAAGCAACAACAACAAGAAATGCTCGCTCCATTGAGACATAATTAACTGCAAATTTCCACAGCAACTTGCAACATTCGGTTGTCAGCTCAAGCTGACATTGCAACCTCAGCCGACAGCTGTAATAAAGCCGCTTCAATTAAAGTTGTGTATAAAGGACAAACAAAATATCGAAATTTAAATCAAATATCAGAGTTCTATAATTGTATAATTGTAGCCTGGTCAGCTAATCGGGAAATACTTAAACGAGTGCATTTAATGTGTGTACGTGTATGTGTGTGTGTGTGTGTGTGATATGGGACCACCCGTTGACAGCGGTAAGTCAGCACTTGTGATGAGTCAAAGGCGAGCGCGCACATGGCTCATTAATCACATATCCAATTACGAGTACATTATTCCAATTCCATACTTACGCGCACACATAAGACAGAGAGGGCGACAGGGAGCGAAAGAGAGAGAGAGAGAGAGAAAGGTAGAGAGGGTGAGGTGAGGGAGCTGATGCCATCTTTCTGCTTTGAGGCGGGGACTTGTTCATTAGAGAGTGGGCCCGC